TATAACAATCAGAACTCGGCAACAATAACAAAAACCAATAAAAATGAAGTGATGGCCATATTAGGATTACTTTTTTTTTTCAGCGTCTATGAGAAATAATCACTCGAATACCGGCCTCATGTTCGATTCCAATATACCAGGACATATTTATAGATCTGTCATGAGTGAAAAACGATTCAATTTTCTCTTGAATTGTCTACGGTTTGACGATAAACCACAAGGCCTTCACGTAACGAGTCAGATTCTTCAGCAGGGTCCACACTATGCCGCGGTAGGACGGGCGGGCTGACCCAGGCGGCCTAAGCCGCGTTGATGTAGACGCCCCGGGCGGCTTTGCCGGGTTAGAGAATGCCGGCCTGGGCCGTGCCGATCCCAACCCACATAAAGTAGGTACAGATCAAAGTAAGCCGAGCCGAGCCGAACAAAAATATAGAGTGGGGACGTGCTGAGCGGCCCCGAACGCACTGTTGCCACAGCTACCCCGTACGGGGTAGTTCTACCCCTCTTGAACTTAATTTCACTCTCTCGCTCCCCTCGCCGTGATCATACTCTGTGCGTGTGAAATGTTATTTGATGTTTATGACATGACATTCGACATTTTTAGTTAAAGTTGAGAATGTAAATATGGTAATGTTTATATTATGTGCAATCTCAGTCTGTGATATAAAACACAAAGAGAGTATGTTTCAATGTATTTAAGAATATACATCTCAAGTTTGGTTTCGAGGGAAAGAAACTTTTACAAGTAACATCAGATTTGACCGAAATTCCTTTCTCAACTGTACGTAAAATAGTCAAAAACAAACCTAATGAACGCAAGACGCGATGTGATACAGGATTACCAAAACCTTAAGATGTTCATCTAATAAAATCATTGAAAAAAACAATATACGACTGTTACAAATATTAATTTTAAACGCACCCCTGCTTCGGGTGCCGTCGTTTTTTAAAATATCATAGAAACTGAGGAAATATAATGATTCTTTGGGAATAATAATAATACTGATGATGATAACAGTTTTCGACAGTGAACGAGATGATCACAACTCTGTCATAGAGTTGGAACCTGTCCAGCAAAAGGTCCATATAAAAGCGGCAGAGATCACTTCACTTCTGCTGCAGCACAAGGATAGGCCAATACATGGGATCTCCTTCAGCAACATTGAAGACCTTGGCTTATCATAGCGTCGGACCTTCGCTTTTCTCAGGTCGAGTGGGCTGAAGTAGGAAACTGAGGGGTTTATCATGGCTTGCCAGGATGGTGTCTTCAACACCTTAGTCTTCCGCAGTCGCGTGATGGTATAGAGGTTCCTGACACAAAGTGCAGGACCTGCCGCGAGGCGCCTGAGACCCTAATGCATTCGCTGTCAGCATGCCCAGCATAAACGGTATCAGCCTAAATCCATCGACATGAAGCGGCCCTAAGAGTGCTTTATCACCACCTACGGCACTCTTACGGTATTGAAGTGACATCAGTGTTGCCCTACGATCCAAGGGGTATTGAATCCGTTGTGGGGAACGAGAAGTGCCGAATTTATTAGAAATATTCGTTTCCCACCATCAGGCTCATACAAGCTGATAACCCTGATGTAATCCTTCTCGACCACCAGAGCAAAACGATATTTTTCGTAGAGTTAACAGCTTCTGCGAGACGAATATCATCCGATAAGAGGAGGAAAACGGATAAAATACCGAAGTTTTCTCTTCGAACTCCACATACTCTATCCAGACCACTCTGTCAGAATGGTTATTTTGGTCACTGAACTCCTTGGTGAAGTAATGTCCTCTCTACTCTCGAATCTCAAAATTATGCAGGCTTGACTCACTAAGGCAGAAATATTAGCAGAAAAAATGCAGAAGGCTCCCGTGGGTTGGGCTACATATCGGGCGCGTCCCCAGGTGGCGGATAGGGGAACGGCCAGGGGACTGAAGACCCTGTCCGGGAAGCCAATGTGGCCTTACGAACGGGTGTCCGGACTCCTGGTCAGTGGCAGAAATAAGTAAGATGAGGGGAACTAAAACCCCACAAAAGCCTTTGCAAAACATGCCACCGTGGACCAGCCTACCCAAGCTAAGGTGTAAGAAATCGTGCCAACAGCTGAATGGCCGCAGGGTGATATGCGGTCACGAACGATCCCTTTGGGGAACTGGGCGAAACCTCATTGTAATCAGCCTACCTTTGGTAATGCGGGGCTCTGCCAGAGGCGACCAACTCTTCTCTTGCTACTCGTGGGAACACACATGAATAAAACAACACAAAAACAGAAACAACAAAAACCAATCCCAAGGCTGGACAGAAGTGCTCACCTCAATCTAAGGCGGTGGCTGGGGATGAACAGAAATGTCCATCCCAATTTACCGCTTGGAATGAGGCTGGACATAGCAGATCACCTCCAACAGCAAGGACACTTCCTGCGGCGGACGCCATGAGCCCCGCCTAAAGGCAAGGAACTGACAGCCCCTGCAGGAAAGCTCCCTCACTTGTGCACCTTCACGGAGGGAACCCCAAGAAGGTTGAAGAAGCCGCGCAATGACAGTAATAACGCTGCACCTTCCAAAACCTTTGCGGATGCCACCGTGAGACACCTCAAGGTTGCCAAAGAGAGTGTGTATTCAGCGAGTCTTGGTCTACACCTACCAATATAAAGGAGGTGTCTTCTAGTGACCTGTTCACCTTCCTGGAAAGGACAGGATGGACGATGACCTAGGAGGACAACTCCTCGGGAGGATGTACAATGTGGCCAAGTGCTGTCAGTCTACACTCATCCTCCCTACTCCTCAGATACCATATACCAGATGCAGAAGGCTGTCATTCTTGGCTCACTGCACTTACTCAAAGCACATGATTCTCGCACCCAATGATCAGTTACCCCACGGTGTAGAGAGCGGTAGTTGGTTGATAATGCTGGCCCGCCTTCCTGAATGTATTGGGGCTTCGTGGGATAGGGCCTTACCAGCGCAATATGATGATGAAACATCGAGATTTTCCCTTCGAACTGCGCTGACCACTGTGTTAAGATAGTTATTCTAATTATATATCGTAGTCCTTGATGGAATTATGCTCTCCCTACTCTCGAATGTCAAGATAATGCCAGCTTGCCGCACTAAGGCAGATATCTTCGCCGGACAAATTCAGAAGGCTGTTATTTTCGACTCATTGTATCTGCTTGATTCTCGGACGCGATGATCTCCCATCCCACGGTGTGAGGAGTGACCATTGGTTGATGATGCTGACGCGCCCTTCTGAATGTACCGGTACTTAACCAGCTTACCCTTCGGTAAAAATTATAATAATAATATGAGAACATAGAAGTCACATCCGCAGTTACGATTAGAAAGAACATAATCTGGGCTGGTAGGCCGTAGTTGAAAGAAACTAGTGGTAGTACCAAAACGATTGCTCCACCACTGCAACGGACATCTTGAGCGGTGTATGTATTGTCTGCGAGAACGTATTTAATATCCCAAGGTTTTGATATCCCACTAATATTTCATAGGAAATATAACATATTTTTGAGAGTTAGTAGAACCACTTTCCTGAATACTGGGAGAATTTTCAATGTTTCAACCACGTGGTATAAATGAAATAAAAAACTCGAACCTCTAGCGTATCATAAATCCAAAACGACCACTGGTCCCACACAACAACAAACTATTTTCGACGCATTTTTAGCCACAAAACTGGCGTCATCAGGTGATGGGCTAGATTAATCTCAGAGACTAGACTCAATCTAATTAATGTACTGATGATGTCAAGTCGGTTGCCATACGACTGTTGCAGTTCTGAGAGTAGTAGTGATTGTTTTGAACTCTGTATAACATTCAAAAGAAATGACTTCATTCCGATACCTTGTTTGAGAGCTATTTCAGTGCTGAATACTATCAGTTTTAACGAGATTGAGCTATGCAAGTACCTTTAGAAAAATAATACGTTTTATTGGTTAAGTGTGGTGAAGTTTTCATGGTTTCAAATCAGATTAGGTATTTTTTATTTGAATTGGTGGTAGAAAGAACAAAATAAGCAAAGATAATATTTTGCAATCCCATAAAATCTTCGAAAATTTCTTCCTCTGTACATTTGAACGCATTGGGAATGTTCAGAGTTTCACAAAGATTTCAAAATTACTTAGGAAGTATAGAATATTTTCAATGATTTTCAATTTACAGATGGAAATTCAAGTTTGCCTTGTTAGATTGTAGTTTCCATAGCTGACTGTAATATTAGGAGACTAATTATTTTATTTGTGAAAGAACAATTCAAAAAGTCCCCATAAATTCTCATAGAAACATTTGAAAATTCATACGTACATGGGAGTGATTATGATAGAAGTGAAGTCCCTTACCTAAAAATAAAAATTAAGCGTTTTCCCAAAACAGTTACTGAGGTAATTTCTATTGTTTATGAAGTATAATAGAATAGATGTTAAGGAAAGTGTATTTCACGTGTGAGAACCAACAGACAAGAATATGTTCCACGTTGTCTTAGTCTAATCTTACAAGTCATTTCTTTTCTACATCTATTTGTTTGTGTTGACTGGTTCTTCATGATTAGCGATCTTCTCAATTGAATTCCATTTTTTTCTTTGCAGATATCTCCATTATAAGTGATCATTCTTCTGATTAACTAGAATTAGTGAATATGTACTTGCTAAACCTGTTTACGTTTTGCTCTCAAGTGTTTCAGATGCAATTATTTATGCTGGCAAATTTATTTACTTTTTTATTTTCAAGGAGACATTTCCCTCTTGTTTTTCTTTCATTCGAAATCTTCAATTGCTACAACTTTCACTTTCGACTTTTGTACACTTTTTTCTGTATTTGGACAATTTGATATGTTTTTATGCTCAAATAGTGTTATTTCTTTATCGAGTTTCATAATCGACCGGTTACTTAAATCGTCATATGATGGAAGAACAGACCTGAACAAAAACGCAACTCAAAAACATTAATTAATTTGCATTGGAGAGGTGACCTCTGATGAAAACTTGAAATTAAAAATTTCTGTTCATACCACATTCCTCACAGCATTTGATGTATCAAGGAAAGATTTTTTTTACCTGGTAAAGGACTTGGAGATCGACGAGGCGGTGAGGCTTTCTTAAGAAATTTATGATTGAAAAACGTTTCGAAATTCATTCTTTCTCTAGCATTTCTCTTAAGTAACCCCACCAACAAATCGCACAGCTCCGGACTTGTTTTAACAGGAATTCTGAAAATGAATTGTTTTTAAAACAAGTATGTATGTAATACAAAAATTAACTTAGATAAATTACAAATTCATGTCATTTCACTTGATGACATATCTAGTTCAATGATAGAGTTTTAGTGAGAAAAAACTAACATAAACTAGGAATACTCACTTTGGAGACAAATTACAATTCTTTTCATACAACTGCTTCAAGGCTTGTGGAGTTGAAGCTTGAAAGGGTGCTTTTCCAACCAAACATTGAAAAATTATAGTTCCCAAACTCCAAAGGTCAGCTTTTGCATCATACTGTAGGGACATTATAACTTCTGGTGCCTGAAAAGTTATGATATTGTAACAAGAACGTTATATCACTGAGGAATCGTATTACCATATACATCGGACTTCCACAAAGTGTAGCTGCCATAACACCATCTTGCAAAAATCTCGCGAAACCAAAATCGGCTGAAATATCAAAAAACCATTGATGTAAAAATTTTACCAAAAAAGTAGGAATTTCTATATGGTGAAATAATACAAGCAGGTAGAAATTGTGAACATACCTATTTTCAATTTTATCTCGTGTGGTTTAGGATCTTTATGGTCATGTGCCAGTAGAATATTTTGCGGTTTCAGATCTCTATGAACAACTCCTTTGGCATAAAGAGCTTTTATTGCCCCAGCTAGAAAATAAATCAGAAAAATATAAATTATTCATTTCATTATTTAGAAAACTGTTTTTATGCATTGCAATTGGAAAAAACGAATAATTTTCAAATGCATTCGCAAGTTTTTATTTTCTTCAGTCTAGGATCCTAAATTTACAATAGAGGAAGTTTATGATTTCTGGTATTTGTATTTTATCTAATAGTACTCGAAGCAATTTTATAAGTTTACATAGGTAATGACTGTTTTGAAAATACTGGTAATTTGCGCATATAGTTTAATCTTAAATATAGTAAGTCATCAACAACAAAATGGAAACAATCATTAGTAACATAATGTTGAAGTTTTCTCAAAAATATCAATGAAAAATAATTAATTTTCAATTCATTTGAGATAGTCCTAAATCTTTCGAAGAATATCGCACATTTTTATTTTCTGTTAAGACACTATACTCAAAGGATTCAGGGAGTCTGTGTGACATCACAGTTCATTTGCCATATGTAAAACTAAAGAAAATGTGCAATCTAGCAACAATGTAGATGTCTCTACACTCATTTCTTTTTTAGCTGCATTGAGACAAATAATTATGGCTAAAAAATTTGTATAAAATGACATTTGTCATATGCAACCAATTGCGTGTTGGTGTTTTATTGACTATTTTTACCGCCATCAATACTGTATAGCTGTGAACTATAATTTGATTCGTTTTTTTTTGAGACTATCTGATTTTTTTCTGATTGATTCGGCGGTTACTTGATGAAGATCCATAGTAATTTCAAAAACTACACCTCACGATTTAATCTACACAAACTTTATTTTTAAAAATATATAACAACATGTTTCGCTAGCACAGTAGCTTTTTCAAGTGATCACTTGAACTGTGCTATCGAAACATGTTGTGATATACTATTTGAATGATTAGAGCAAAATTCGGACTGGTATTCCTGAAGTAAGCAGCAAACGTTTCGTCTGCTACTTTGGATCTTCCGATTACCATGACCTACCAGCCCGGATAGACTATCTGAATGTGAGTGAAAAAAATGAGATAAATTATACCTTCCATTCAATTCAATATACACACACTTTTATATCAATATCTTTTGATGGCAACGTAGATATTTCCTCATCAAATTCAACTTTCAAGAATTATGAAGTTACATCAACTTATAAAAAATTCAAAACGACTACAAAACATGATAGCAGGGGAGCCCACGATGCAAAATGAGGATTTACTCGAGCGTCATTGAGACATATTAGGTTGCAAAGCTCAGATGATAAGAAGAAAAAATTGTTATATAATATATACCTTTTCATCGGGGAAGGAAGCGGCTATATATTTTTAAATATGTAAAAAAATACTGTTGCATGGACATACTCGAGCGCGTCAGATATTCCAAGGGGGTGTTAAGTGTAACAAAAAAAAGCTCTCGTTCAATAATCTGACGATTTCGATCTGACGCGGCCATGATTATAATGTGCAAAAAAAAATTCGCCATTTTGAAATACTCAAGCGCGTCAGATTAAGATATATATGGTTCATCTTTATGTTTTACACGTGCTGTCTCATAATCTGACGATTATCTAGAGGGATTCGCTTAATCTGACAAAAACAATATTTTTTTGACGAATTTTTGTTATTTCGGCTTGCGGAAATCTGCCCTCTCCTTTCTTTACGTCACTCTCAAATTGTCAGATTACTGGAATATACACTTTTTAACAGGTAATTAACTCACCCTACCTTAATCTGACGCGCTCGAGAATTTCTGATGATCATTTTTTACTAATCTGATCCTTTATCCCTAACAGGCGGCCTTATATATGGTGGAGGTACTTAACCGGGTACAAGGTATCCCCCTGTGTATTAATCTGCCGCGCTTTAGTAAATCCCGAAATTTCCGCTTGGGCTCCCCTATTATGATGATTCCTAATAGCATATCAAATTTGAAATTTAGGAAAAAAATTGTATTGTAATGCTGATACCACATCAGCAGTTAGGGCAGAAATATTTAAAACTGATCAAGAGGTTTGCTTTTTCAAAATCCTTATCAATAGCATTGTTTTTCCGAGTTCTGTTGCCAGGACTAGAATATGTCAGTTTTTGAATGACTTAAATCGCCCATTTACTTATGAGTTTCAGAAAACTTGCAGTTTCATTGCAACTTCGCTAGGAAAGACATAGTTTCTTCAGATTCATTCAAACCATCGTTAATGATCCACACTTGCATTGCACACATGTCTACTGTAGGGTTACGAATAAAATCGTGAAATACATTGTGAAACTGAAGCTGCTCTAGATACCATAGCATGGACCCCATAACATCTGGTGAAGAAAGAGTCAAATAATCAAGTTACCTTTAAAATAGGGTTTGTTCCAAAATTATTCCTTCAACCCCATTATCTTCAACATCTTCATTTTTGCCAATAAATATTGCGTTCAAGAAATCTAACGGATTCTCTATATATCTCTACATGTCTACATATAGGGCCGCCCATCTATTTAATATGGTTCACAAATTCTGTCACTGGATAAAAGAGTATAAGCATGATGACAATCAAATTCAGACCAGACAAATGTTCAAAATTCCATCTCAGTTCCGCTCAAGAGCTATCCATGTTTATAACTGAGCAAGTATCACCACACATTTCAACAGCTCCAGTATTTTGGATAGAGACCTGGACTCAGAAGAAAGTGAACCAAGTTGATTTGAAAAAGCACAAAGAATACATACTAAAAGGCTACATTGTAAATAATCTGTTCCACGGTTTTACGTTCATGATAATAATAGTGGGGTGGTGTTTTGAATTTAGAGAGCCCAAATAACAGAGGTATTCTGCTTGGGACCTGTGAGAGATTGGGACGTTTTTACTGAACGAGTTCAAACTACTTCATACATTTGTGTCTACAAATCGATAAACCAATGCGTGAAACCATATTTTAACGTCAACGAGGATCTCGTTTCATCAAATATTCTGACCTTTGGTTTCTTCAGGTTCAGTTAGGTCTGTCTGAATTCAATTTGAAACCTGATAAGTCAGGTTTCAATTTGAAAGAGAGAAAGCATTGAAAGTCGCAAAGAGATTATGTAGAAAAGTCACCTTGGTATGATGCTATGTCAAGGTCAACTAGCCAGACGGCTGAGAAAAGAACGACTCAGAAATCTCAGACAACATCTTAGAATTGCGTACGAGACGTAATATAAACGGTCCGAAGAGACATCTGATCAGGGGTGCTACTTTTATTATTTCTAGTTCTTAACACGAAACGGGATCTATTTAATAATCTGGCAACAATCAACCAGAAAACAATCAAAATGTCTTGATCATAAAAGCGTCTATTCAAACATCCAATGGGAAGGATTTAATTAATTTGTTGTGAGGTAAAGGATTTGATGTGTAGATGAACAGTTTTGCAATACCGACAACCTAGATTAAGTGGTTTATCGCCCCCTTCATTCAAAACCAAATTCTTAAGTAGCAGAACCTGGAATCTGCACTAGGAAAGAATATAAACTCCCAACAAACGTTAAGGTTAGTAAACGCTAAGATGCAAACATCAATTTACGCAAACCAGAAGCCAAAAAATTCTGCATGACTGAATCTAAAGTATCATCATGCCTAGCTTACAGATGGACTCATATTGGAAGGTTGCTGCAGTCATTCCGTGTTAGGAATCACACGTTGAAAGGTAAGACCTCGTTAGTCCTTAGCTCGCACAAGTTTCTCAACTTCTGAGAGTTGTCGTTCGTATGGGGGCGACAGCTGATTAACGGAAAAGCAGAAAGCAGCAGATAAGGTGGGAATATTGCACCTTGTACAGGGTGGGCCAAATTTAACAGTTTTGAAGGGAAACTCCTGTTTTCAAACTAGATAGATGAAAACTGATGGCTGAATCAAATTTAACAAACTTAATGGTGACAACCGCATATATCGATATATATCGTCGTTTCTGAGTTACAGCATGTTTTTAGAAAATGTGCATTTTCGAAAAGTTGCTGTAACTTTTTGCCTGTCAAAAATTTCCCTGTTTCTATGAAAACATTTCCAGAACACTTTTCTACGTAGAATTCAGTAATGTAAAAAACATATTTTTTCAAATGAGATATCAGTAGTTATTGATGTATATTCCTGCATATTTCAATGGAGCTTAAAATTACCTTTCCAAAAATTTAGCACACTGATAACAATTTATACTATATTTGCTACTAATAAATGAAACTTCAACAATAATGATGAAGAACAAACAATGAAATATATTTCTTCAGAGGAGTTCGAAATGTCTACCAGCTTCTCTTATAGACAGGCGACACCTATTCTGAATGTTTTTTGCCGAATTAATTTACCAAGTTTTTTTTTCATTATTTGAAAGTGTATGTTTCAAATAGTACATCTGCAAAAAATCTGAATTTTCACTCTTTATTTTCCCCTTCAAATTAATAGTTGAATGTGGCGTTCAACGAAACAGGGCGTGGTCAAACTTGACGTCACATCAGCCGCCAGTGCTGGCGGATAAGCGAAATATATACGTGTACTGAAGTCGTAAAGAGCAAGTTGTGTGTTGTTTACTGCAGTTTATCAACTGCGTGAATATGTAACACGTGGTGTTTTCAAACCAGTCAGCAAATGAAACAAAATCCGACGATGGCAGCGATTCATAATCTCCAACTACAGGCCCGGTTGCCTTTTTTCATAATTCTCATACTTCATTGCGAATGTGTTTGAAAATTGAACAAAAACCAATAAGTAATTGAAGAGCGGTGCCTGTGCGAAATTAGCGACTCAACATTGGATTTGAATCGCTGGAGATTGAACCCATTTGAAAAAATGTTCTGAGGAAGTTTATTCCACGTACACGCAGTTCTCCAAATGAAAAAGTTTTTGAGCAGTGAAGTTCGAGGTGTACTGAGTTCAACCTCAAAACAATGAGCAGTCACAGTCCGTCGCGTATTTCTGATGTGTACCGATCTTGGTGGAATCAAATGTGCCAAGTCACTTTAACCCTAGAACACTATCGCTCGTA